AATATTGTGCATGAGCAAAGCGGTGCTGAGCAAAACATAGCACATCTGCCGCGTTCACCTCTTGTGCAACTTGCACTTGGTTCCTTATGTACGGTTGTACTTTATTTAATATTATCCATATGCTTGATATTCTACCAAAAAGCTTTAGTTCAGGTAGGTTTAGTTCAACTTTAAAATAATTTGGAATAGTGTTATAAAAAATTACATATTTATTTTATAGAATATCAAATTTCCACTTACTATAGTTTCATATCATCTTGTGATAAAATTCATACTTTCCGCCATTGTGCGCGCGGTTTACAAATGTCGCACTGGAAAAACTCGCGTCCAAATTGATTTTCGTACATCTCTGCGCAATATGGCACCAACCGGTATTGCTAGCGGCATAGATATAGGATTCTCTAACTGGGGCTTAGAATTAGTAACGATTTCTTTATATACTATGACAAAATCATCAACGATTGTGTTTATTTTAATATTTGCAATAATCCTAGGTCTAGAAAAAAAGGTAAACATGTACACTTTCAACATTTTAATTTGTTATCTATTTGTTTGTGATACAAATGATAAGATTAAGTTAAAATGCTGAGTTTTCTTTGTGTTTTGTTTATAAAAATTTATAACGACTATATTTTTACAGAGTTGGGTGCTAGTTTTTATTGTTGCTCTAATTGCTACAGGCCTTTTTATGTTGACATACAAATCAACACAATTCAATGCATTGGGTTTTATATTCATATTGGGAGCATCATTAAGCAGTGGCATACGTTGGAGTTTTGCGCAATTTCTCATGCAAAAATCAAAATTGGGTTTGCACAATCCAATTGATATGATATATTATATGCAACCATGGATGATGATGTCCGTTTTACCATTAATTGCATTCGAAGGTAATATAGTGCTCATATGAATAAAATTTTAAAACAGTTGGTTTTTTTATATTTAATAGGACCAAAATTATATGATGCTCTTCTGAGCTTACCTGAAATACCAAATGATGTTATATACATGACTATAATTAAAATCACATTTGGTGCAATGCTTGCTTTTCTAATGGAAGTAAGTGAATTTTTAGTTGTTGCTCAAACATCGAGCTTAACGCTTTCAATTGCTGGAATATTTAAGGTATGTTATGAAATATATAGCAATGTTTTATTTAATAATTATATTAATTGTTTTTTTGTTTCAGGACTTTTGTCAATTGGCTTTAGCTTTTGAATTCAATGGCGATCAACTCTCACTTATTAATGTGTTAGGTTTAGTTGTTTGTTTAGCTGGTATATGCTGTCATTTGCTTCATAAATATGCAATGTTAGTTAAATTAGAAGCCATTAATTCCATTCACAATGATAATGATTTGACATTCCTAGACACAACTATAAATAATAATGGTGTAAATACTTCGCACCATAATCAAACATTCAATACAGCTCATAGAGCACACACAAACCTGACAGTTCCACTTTTAGACGAGACAGATTCTGATGATTCAAATAATGGCCATAAAGAGCAAAATTCATCCGACGTTATATTTGATGTACTTAAAAGACGAGATATGCAACGATGAGCAAATATTTCTTACAGATATGAGTTGAAAGGTTAATTAACTTTTGAGACTCAGCGATGAGCAAATATTGCTAAAAATATGACTAAGAAAACAGAAATAGATGACAAAAAATAGAGTTTTGAGACCCAATGAGGAGCATATATTGCTCAAAAATATATGACATGAAAGGCAGCTAATTAAAACAAAACTTGAAACTCATGTATATGCTGTAAATTAGTTAAATTAATTTGTATTCCATTTATATTATATCAATATATTATTATTAAATTTTGTAAGTAATTGTTGTAGATTTTTATTAAAACATTATGTACTATATGTTTTAATAAAAATATAAATTTGTTGAGTTAAAGTATATACACTTAACAAGCAAATAAAGTACCATTGAAGCATTTTTATTTATTTATTAATGTTTTTGTAAATATACTTATAAATTAAGTTATTTTAATGTAAATATATATATATAGACAAAATTTCCTTTAATTATAAACTACAAAATTACTTTATATTGAACGTGTTTTTGTATTTCTTTTTATTTAAATTATTTTATTTCAAAATTATTAATAAAAATAACATATATCTATACCGAAATTCGAAAGAAATATGATATAGATGCTTGTTTAACTTTTAAAACTTTTGAATATAAAAACTTCTAGTTCAGATAGATTTATGAAATGAATCAGATTATTATATTGCATTATTTGAAAAATTTGTGTTGTCATTGACATAAAAAAAAACTATTATTAGTGTAAAAAAATTGAAAAATGTCACTCTTGTTTCTTAGTTTTTAAATAAACATACACTTATGTATAAACTTTGTAGTTATATTATGTATATTAATAATCTACAATAATTTTAATTAACGAACAAACTATAATATAATATAAAATATTCTGTTGAGGGCAGATATCAATTGAATGTGTGTCATGTTTGCAATATAAACTGAATTATCGGGACTATTTGCTCTGTTATATATAACGACATTCAGTTTAATGTGAGGCTGATAAAAGTAATATCAGTTCTATTTTTCTGCTGTTGATGTTCTTGGTATTATAAATACATCGATTCAGATGAAATTGAATGTAGATAAACTACAGAGAAGGCAATACGCCTTGAGATAAAGATGGAATGTGAGCGTGGATGTGAAACCTGATCCCTTCCATGGGGCGGAATCATAGATCAATTGGACTCAAAGTAGTGTATGTATTGCGATAGGTGACCATGTGGGCAAACTCATGGCGAGGTCACCTACAGTTGTGGCACACATTGGAAAATAGAAATTGTTGTGAAAAGCAACTCTTTAGCACTTGGTGTTATCATGATCTCAATTAGATTAAAATAGTACTTACTTCAAAATAAGGATTCATATCGTCCGTAGAGATTTTAGGTCTGTGGAGAACTGAACAGGACATGTTCAAAAGTATAGTTGCCTGAAATCAGCTGTTGGCCTATCAGATCTTAAATAATGAGTTTTATTAAATAAATAAAAGAAAAAACTTAAAACCTAATTTAAACTAATCTAATCTTATTGTTTGAGATACAATTGTTTTATTATTTTTAACCCGACGTTTCATTACCAACATTTTCGGAGATATATATATGAAGTAAGTCTTAAAACAATGTACAACTACTTAATCTTTATAAACTATGAATTCTTCATATCATCATTATTTGCACTACAGTCGTTGTTCAATCATTCAACAAATCGATCCACCAATCCTGAGTGCGAGCCAATAAGTGTTCTGATCTACACCATATTTACAGTGTACATAACCCTCAGGAATCTGTAAAGTCGACGTGAAAGGAATCACAAGACAAATACATTTAAAACTCATGTTCCATTACCCTGATGGTATGTGATTTAATAGAATGACATTTTAACTATTTTAATTTTAATTGCAAAATTAATTAAAACTCATTATACATTATATTTCTTTCTATAAATTATTTATTAAAAGTTAAAAATTAACATCGATATATAATATTATACTAATTAATATGATTTCGTTTTAAATATATACTCCATTAAAAATACTCAAAAGTACGAGTATATATAAAGTAGATAACACATATTAAGTACTCAACATTTTATAGCTTTAAATGATGTCTGTATTTTTTATTGTGATGGAGAAAACAATCTTATTTACATATTTATTATTAAGCACACTGATTGAAAAAAATAAAGATTTCAAGGAAAATATATGTCTTAATGGTTTTAATTATTTTTGTAGTAGTTATCTAATTTTAATATTTTTTTAACAGAAAGTTATTTGTCTTAAGTATTTGAAATACAAAATAATTATTTAATATCTAACTGATAAACTGAAAAATGTACTGCAATAAATAAAAATGTTTTTTTTTTCCTGCTCTACAGGTTTTTTTAGGCTATAATATTTTTTTAATTATTTATATGCATTTATCTTTTTAATTTCATTTAAAGTTAAGAAGGGAAATAGATTTTTCAAAAATATAGAATATTTAAGTTAATCTATACCAATGGTTTTTTATAACAAAAGTTCGTTATATATAAAATTATATATTTATGATAAAGTACTTTTTGCTAAATAAATTATTACTATTTTCGCTATATAGTTTTATAGACATATATATATTTTAAATTTAAAATATGTACCTTATTACACCGGTTTTAAAGAAGTATGCTAAAGTGGTTATTCATTATCGTGAATAACTATGTGACTCGTGGTCGGTAACATAGTATACAACAAAATACTTTTACGTGGTTGACGAGCTCGTAACTCTAGATCGTGAACATCATTTACATATATTTCTTTAGCTTGCCGCGTATATTTTTACAGTTATTTTATCCTCAAACTTAAAATAGCTTTTCTTTTGCGAAACAACAATTTTCGTTTAAATATATGATCAACAATAGTCTACAACTTTTTACTTAACACTTAATTAGTAGTTTATGTTCAAATTTAAATAAGGTATTTATAGCTGTACTCAAATGACATTCAATGTAATTATGAATGTACCCAACAAAAAAAATAAGTATTGTAAATACTTAATCCATACGGGCTCTTTTAGATTTTGGAGATCTAATAATACTTTCTTCAGTTTCAATATATTGTCCATCAATTGAGTCATTTGTACTCGATTCAGAATCATATTCTTTTTGGTTATTATAATGTTCTAGAGATATACCAGAGTCAGGGCTTATTGCAAACTGTTGAGAACTTGCATTTACATGATTGTATTTGTAACCACTCCGGTCGTAACAGCATTTTAACATACCCACACATTCTTGAATTTTCTCAAAACCACACCCTGTTCTTTGCATTAAATGTCTTGGCCATGCTGGTTCCACATGTGTCACAATCCGTGCACAAGCTAAACATGCACTTGCTTTAATAGATGGTTTTGCATTTATAAATTGTATATCATGTACTGAAATATAAAAATAATCAATTTTCTAATAAAACGTATACATAAAGTAATCCTATTATATTTACTATTTAACGATAGATCCGAAATTGTTGCAACCATATTATTTACTACATTAAACATATCACTAAAACTTTTAAAAATCAACGTCGAATTTCTTTTGAAAACTGCGTTTTGTGAATTTTGTACATATAAACTAAAATCATTTAAAGTAACTACAGGAGCGCCAATATACTCAATAAATGAAGCCGTGGTTGGATAATTTAGTTTAAAGCTTAGTGATAGTAACATTCGTTTCTCAAATTCTTTATACTCGCTAAGAGTATAACTGGTTTCGAAAATTTTGTTCATTTGCGCAAGGCTTGGAATTGTGATATCCGTTTCCTCGAATTTGCCGGCAATACAGATTGCACTTATGGCAACCAATTTTAAATTCACCTGACTCAAAAAAATATGGCAGCTTCGAAATATATCCATGTGGTATATAGCTAAAAATATATATTAAAAAAAGTAAACAATTAATACGAAGTTAAAAATTCTAAATTATCATTAATACAATATAAATGAAATATCAATAATATTCTAATATCATTATATTCTCTCAATAATCGAAGAGCTATCGAAGGACAGCATTAACCAATTGGAGAAACAGCACCAACCAGTCGAACTCAAAATTAGAACTGAAGACATTCAACAGGAAAATCATATTCTACCATCCAAGTTAGTTTATACCAAATATAAAATATTTACAGGAAAAAAAGAAACATAACACACTGAAGAAAACCAATTTACGATTATAACACTCTTAAAGAAGAAGAAGAAACCACAAGCTGTATATACAGTAGCCTGTAACTATATTGAAAGATTCTTTATGGACATTCAAGGGAAAATTTTTTGTAAAAAAAAAAAATAAATTAAGAGTAATGAATACAGACTTGGGAAACTAATAATTATTAACTAAAAAATCAATTATACCAGATACTTATTCAACAACTAAACTGATTTGGGAAGATATGATAATAAAATCTGTGACGATACCAAGGTTCTAATTCATTATATATTATAAATTATATATTTGTATGGTTTTAAATATAATAAAGCAATTCTTAAGAAAAAAATAAATTTTATTAATAAATTGAAAATTTGCAAATATTAGTTAGTGTTAGTGGTAGGCTTGAAAATGAGATATTTTTAAATATATTTTAGAAAATTCTATAACTCAAATTTTCTATTATATTTAATTTCTAACAAATTAAATATAATTCTGCTTCCTTAACTCGAGTTTCTATAACTCGAATTTCTCTATAATTCGAATAAAAATATTATCACGCGCCATTACGAATATGGGAAAATGCATTCTATAAGTGAAATTTTTGTTTCAAGAAAAACCAAAATTGTTTGGTGTTAGAGAAAATTCCTTTTTCCAAACCAAATGTTTCATTTTTTCTTTCTTATTTTGTTTCTTTGTGCAAAGGCCAATCCCTGGCAAACTGTAGTCAAACAATAGCGTACTGTAATAAAAAAGCTGGATTTGGCTAATTTTCTACATGGGACGAATAGAACGTCATTAATTTTCTTGAAAAACATTAATTTTTCTTAAAAAAATCTTATACTCTAATTTGAATGGCATTCTTTTGAATTTAACCTAATCTTTCCAATTGAAAACTCGGGGACTCACAGCGGATCATATAAGGATAATGTACCGCGCGGAACACAACTTTGTAACGTTACATTCTGCAGTTGTTGACGTGCAAAACTCTACTACAAATCATAGAAGGATAATTGATTAATTGGTTAAAGTTTAAACGGCAAAACGTTGCCTTTGGAAGTTACAATCAGCGCGAGGCATAAGTCTGTCGTTTTCTAAGTAAATGAAGTCGATGAACACACGTATCTTACCTATCTACACTGTACAACTACATACAACATCGGTTGTATTAAGTTTACGGATATTCGGATTTATTTCTGTAGTAATTTATTTAAATGTCTTCACATATGTTTATACAACATAAAGATTATATTTATTTTGTTTAATTTACAAGGACTAAAATACCATCTACCAAAATATTTTACCTTAAAATAATATATTTTTTTTAATTTATTTTGAATACTATTTCGGAAGTAAGGCATAAGTAAATATATTTAAGAAGTGTGTTGTAATTATAAATAAATTATAAACAATTATTTCTCTTACCCAAATGCAATGTAGTCTTTGCCAAATTAAGTAAATTACAAGCACTTTTTATTAAAAATACTAAATGAACTCTGATGTCTTCATGATGTTTATCTTTTATTTTAATCTTAGTAATGTCGTTTTCCAAATAAAATAACCTTTTTAAAATATCGTTATTATACGGATTATGGCATTCTTCCTTTTGCGCACACATGTTCGGGTCAAACATTGTTTCGTCCTGAAAGTTTACTTGACGCCACATCTAATAATCTAAATCATAATCTAAAAATCCAGAAATAGAAGTAGACATTTACGCAATTTACGTTTAATGCAATTTTCGTGTAACGGTAATCACTGTTTCCTCTTTGATTTCCATTTTCTTTTTATAAAGAAACGTTTAGTAGCAGAGTGATGCCATGTATTTCAATTTTTGTGATGCATTTCATTTTATTTTGATTAAAATATACTAGGACTATTCGCGTACCTACGTAAAAAATTACTTGCATTTTGTTACTTTCTATTTCCGTAGGGTCATGTTTTACACAAACTCAGGGTCTAAATATATAACTGTTTTATTTTTAATACAAATTAAAAAATGAAGAGGAGAAAGAAATAAGAGAGGTTGATTGCATTGGCCATCAGATAATTTCCATGTACCTCAATTAGCGATTTTTTGCTGTTTTACTACCACATTCCTTGCAAGAACCCTAGTATAGAAGAGTAAAAACTAAATCCATCCAGTCTTTCATCTTCACCGATTAGCAGTCTGATAAACTATCAGAGAAGTATTTTCCTAAGAACCTATATCTTCTAGACGCTAAAGCCTGGCATTCACAGAGAAAATGTATTATGGTTTCTTTCTCCTGCGGGTTTCCATAACTTTTGCAGAGAGGGTTATGGGGAGTTCCTACGTGAGTTCTGCGTGAGTTCCACACCAATAACCAGTTCCGAGGATTTATTTTTATTATAGGTCATGTTATTATAGGCCATGTTAACCTGGAAGTGGCACATGACCTAAGTGCTTTCCATCTGTTATTCGAAACTTGCAGAAAGTAGAGGAAATTACTTCTTTTAATGGTCTCTAGGGTAATATAAACCTGTATCGCCAGTGACGCATCCAGGGAGGCACAAGAGCGGGCTAAACTGTCATCTTTCTCGTTCCCTACGAAATATCAGTCAACCAATTTAGCTCGTCGATTGCTTCTCTACATTTCTTTAATATCTTTGATTTTGTTATGAAAGATTGAAAGACTTTAATAAGAGAGAAAATGGAAACTTTCGATTTGATTTTGGTCGCGGTTGTTAGGTTTTCTGTTCTTTGTCACGTTAGTCAAAATAGTGTTACTCGGGAATAAATGTTAGAATTTGCCCCTATTAGGAATAAATATAGGACTTTTCTTTTCTAAGTATATCACAAAAGAACATCCGCTTATTTTAGAATAATCTATGCAACAATAACGCTGCTGGCTTATTTAGTCCAAGTTTTTTTGAAACCGCTTAACTAATAAGCAGCTCAAATAGCATAATTGCTTAGACTAATACTCTCAAGGAATAAGTCTCCCTTTTCCCTCGTTATTCCTTCAAATAGAACTCCCTTATTCTGAATTGCTTGGGAAACAGCTGTTTTTAAAACAACAAAAATTTCAAATTTGTTTTGTTGTACTTTGGCAACTATGATACTTTTTAATGGCGAAAAATGCGAAAATGAGCACAACAAACGAAAAGAAATGCGTATCATATGTTAATTTAAATTTAAAAATCGCATTATTTATCTGCAGCACAAAATATCAGAAATAAATATAATAATAATAATAAAAAACTTTATTTTATTTCTTTTAATTATATATTTTATTTTTTAATGTTAATTAATGTTTTAACTAAAATTTGAGTTCCTCGTATGTATTTTTATAATTAAGATATAAATGTAATATATTTCGATCTGTGAATAAACTGTAATAATAGTTTATAATTGCGCATAATGTTATAATAAAAAAGAAGCAATGTTTTACCTGCGCATAATTACAAAAAATTATATTAAATTTATTCAAGGAATCCCATTCATTCTAGAACTTGTGTTCCTTTAAATATTCTATTGTTTTAAATAACAATAGTTAACGCTTTAATTTGTGCAAAAAAACCCGTGTAGATAAAATAACTACATAAAAATTTAAATACATATATTAAATTTGTTATAATGCTTTTATTATAATAATTTTATTATAATAATAATTTTAATAAAATATGTTAAATAAAAATTAAATATAATAATTTTGGATTTTAGATAAAAAATAAAACTTTAAAAATATTACATTTATTATAATAATTTTATTAAAATAAAAATTTTATTAAAATATATTCAAACATCTGATCATTTTTTAATTTATCTTCCACACAATTAGCTTGGGAAAGATTTTCTGCAAGATATTAAAAAAAACTCCCATTCCCATATGATTCAGAATAGGAAAATTGGAAAAAGAGAAAAATCTCCCATTCCCATGTGATTCAGATTGGGGGTATATGTTGTTCTTTTGCGATATGCTTACAAAAGAAAAGGTCTTATGTGAATTTTTGTAAGGATATATAAGCATATCCATATAAAACGTGTTAGGTCAGTAAGAAAAAGTATCCTAAAAATTTTTAATCTATTAATCAAAATTAAAGAAAAAATAAAATTATTATTTATTTGAGGATACATTTTATCTTTAAATTATATTTTCTTTCAATTATATTTTCTTCACGTACTCTTAGAAAACTTTGTATATACTTACATCTGTATATTTAAAATATTTCATTTCCACTATTTTCAAATTTTTGAAACTTTTTAGTTAATATTCGTTAAATTTTATAATCAAGGTTAGCAATAGTTCGCTTATCGCTTTGGTAACATCTGCAGTCGCTAAAATGTTTGAAAACTTCACAACTAGATACTTAAATAGAGAAAGTAATGTTGTTGTTTTGCGTACAAATTAGCCACTTTAAGCGAGCAACTTCCTGTTTTTTGTCACACTTAAAAGCTGCATAAAGAACCTATTATTAATTCTCCATAATTAAGGTTTGTTTACCGATTCGACTGGCTAACGTGTTTAATTACCCTTTTGGTTACAAAAACAAATTTTTGCTCATTATATATAGAGGAGAAGTTGATATTATTTACAAAATATCTTACGCACTATTTCTCTCCTCTTCTATTGAGAAAAATATAGTCATTGTTTGGAAGAGAATAAAATCACTAGTCACGTTCTTTATGATCGCACTGTAAGAATGATTTTTAATACAGGAGAGACATTTTGGTAAGTCTCTAACCCAAGAGATTATAAACTGTTCAACAAGGTTTTATGGCTCCAATCGAAAAACGGAATATCTTCTATTTAATTAAGTTTTGTAGCAGTAAAAAAGAATTGTTGCTGTCACAGTAATCTACTCCATTAAGACTATAATTTCCTATTATCTATCTATCTATCTATCTATCTATCTAATAATTCAATACAATTAAATTCTTTTATGTTCTATATCCAAGCTCATGTTAAAAATGATTATAAAAATATATATTTGGGAGAATTATAAAATATCCCTTATTTTATTTTAATCAAATAAGTTTCATCCTAGTCTACGAAAATTAAAGCTTGCGCGTCTGACAAAAAAGAAATTTCGGATGAGAACAGTAAATAACACATATTTAGTCACTCAATGTGGATCAGGATGATTCTGAACCGAATCTTTTTCTGGCTTAATATATAATGAAATAAATTTAAAAAATTAATATTTTTTTCAACAAACCTGCTAGAATATCAATGAAATTTTGTTTACTTCTTCATAAGTATGACAGTAGCATTTTCTCTATCACCGCTGGTCATAAAAATCTTCATACATATTGTTTTCATATATAATCTATTTCATTATATCCACTCTCTTAAAACTTGAAACGACGTTAAAAGTGAAACTATTCCAACTGCCTTCTTTTGAAAACATATAAAATCTTTTCTTCAAAATTATTATAATAACCACAATATTTACAAATATTTAATAGAATTTTTTTATTGTAGATTTAATATTTACAAAATTTATATATGAATTTTTTTTCATACTATTTTATACAATTTTATATAAAATTAAATAAAATAAACATTAAAATAAATACATAGAATCAGGTATATAAATAAAAACTTTCTTATATGTTAAGATTCGCTATTTGATTGATTCGGAAGATATTAACTAAAATGGGAAGAATGTGATGCAAAATGCAAATTTAGTGGATA